AGAGGGAGGTCTTCCATCTGCTGGTTCACTCCCCAGTTGGCCACAACAGCTGGAGATGTGCCAATCCGAAGCCAGGAGCCAGGAGCTTCCTCCGGATCTCCCACGTGGGTGCAGGGGCCAAAGGACCTGGGCCATCTTCCACCACTTTCCCAAGCCATAGCAGAGAGCTGGGTTGGAAGTGGAGCAACCAGGATTGGAACCAGCGCCCATATGGGTTTCTGGCACCGCAGGTTGCAGCTTTACCTGATAAGCCACAGCGCCCGCCCCTCTGCTGGTTATATTTCAATGCCCTTGGGCTTTCGTGCTTCCTTCCATTAGTCAGTTGTCTGTTACAGGTGTTAAGTCAGTGGTTTCCCAGGGTGGTAGAACAGGGAGCATTTGGCAGTGCCTGGGGACAGTTTTGGTGGTCAGAACCCTGGAAGTAGGAGTCGGGGCAGGGGGCTGGGAAATCGGCGTGGGCATGGGAGACACCAGTGGGCAGAGGCCAGGGATGCTGCTAACCATCCTACGATTCACAGGACAGCCCTCCCTCTCCCCCAACAAAGAATTATCTTGTGGGGCCGGCGCTGTGGCCTAGTGGGTAAAGCCGTGTTCTGCAGTGCCAGCATCCGGTATGGGTGTTGGTTCCAGTCCTGGTTGCTCCACTTCCGATCCAGCTCTCTGCTATGGCCTGGGAAAGAAGTAGAAGAAGGCCCAAGTCCTTGGGCTCCTGTACCCAAATGGGAAGACCTAGAAGAAGCTCCTGACTCCTGGCTTCGTATCGGCGCAGCTCCGGCTGTGATGTCCATCTGGGGAGTGAACCATCAGATGGAAGACTTCTCTCTTTCTCTCTCTGCCTCTCCTTCTCTCTCTCTGTAACTCTGATTTTCAAATAAATAAATAACTCCTACAAAAAAGAATTATCTGGCACCAAACACCAATATTAATAGTGCCAAGGTTGAGAAATTCTTGTCCTATACAAACAGTGTTTGTCTATAAATGCTAACATTTGAAAACCATGAAATAAATATTCAAGGTTATCATGGAAGCTGCCAATATTTAGTGGAATGATAAACTGAGTTACTCTCATGAGCAAGTTCATCTTCCCCAACGTTTCCCATCTGAAGGGGGAAATCCATGCATTTATGGTAGTATGTTCATTTATTGAATGAAATCAGACACCTTTATTGCCTTTGCTAATTTTGCTGATAGGAGGAATAAGATGATAGCACTAAAAGGTGAAATCTGTCCTGGGATTTGAAAACCTGTACATGGGAGAAAGATACTGAGTTTATTCGTCCCTGTTGTCCAGTTACTGGATCAGGAAATTGCTTTTTGCTTAAGCCAACTTGAATTAGATTTCTGTCACTAGCAACCAAAAGAATCCTGACTAATCCACCATTAGATTCTTATTAGTAATATTTCAAGAATTAGCAATAATGCAATGAAGTAGTAAGAGTGAACTTCAGATTGGTTTTTGATAACAAAATTTAAGATAGAACTCTCAAACCACTCTTTCAACCAACATGTATACCTGGTACATATCAGATGCTCTGTGCTCTGTGCTGGGAATATAAAGACACAGGAAAAAGTATCTCTCTTTCCTAGGAGCTCTCAGTGCCCCTGGGGAGGCAGGAAGGTACATAGGGTATGTGAGTGCTGGAACAGAAACAAGCACATCTTATGGGAACCTGCCAGAGAGGCACAGCTCTCTAAAGGGTTAAGAATAACTTAAGAGGCCATGGCTCAGTGCCGGCACACCGGGTTCTAGTTCCGGTTGGGGCACCAGATTCTGTCCCGGTTGCCCTCCTTCCAGGCCAGCTCTCTGCTGTGGCCCGGGAAGGCAGTGGAGGATGGCCCAAGTGCTTGGGCCCTGCACCCACTTGGGAGACCAGGAGGAAGCACCTGGCTCCTGGCTTCGGATCCGTGCAGCACACCGGCCGTGACAGCCATTTTGGGGGTGAACCAACGGAAAAAGAAAGACCTTTCTCTCTGTCTGTCTGTCTCTCTCTCTCTAACTGCGTGTCAAAAAAAAAAAAAAAAAAAAAAAGAGGCCATGGCTACAGTCAGAAGTGAGTCTAGAAAGACGTTATATGGGTTAAACAGAGTAAGAAGAACATTTTAACTGGGTAGAGCGAGGAGTGGAGGCTGAGTGGACAGGGATAGTGAAGGAAAACCAGGACACGTTTGGTGGAGGTAGGGTAAGGGTGGTCAGGAAGGAAGCTGACCTGGAGGTCCAGGGTTGTGGCTTAAAGATCTTGGTTAAACGTCAGGACTCTGTCCCCAAACCTTTGGAGAGCCACTAATTGACCTTATGCAGGGGAGCAACATGATTTATATTAGAAATATCACTCTGTTTGGTGGGGGTAATAGCAGTTGTCTGGCAAGTTGATACCAAGATTATAATAATATTGTAAGTGATGATCACCATGCTAAAAGACAGCCAAACCCAAAAATTCATTCTGTTTTGTTCCAAGCACTGTTAAAAATTCAGGAGTAGAGTATCTATTAGTAGATGTAATTATGGGAATTTTTTTTAACCTGCCATAGCCATATTTGTAATAAAGTGGCACCTAGATTCCAGGTGAGTCTTGGACCTAGATCATTCAGGTTTCCTGCACACAAGGACATTTCAAACTGAGAAAGAACTTTTAGGCTCCTTCTAGAACTCAAAAGATCCCACTAGCCACAACAAAATCTTTTCAACATTTGAGAACTGAGGAATAAAGTGTTCGATAACCAACCACTCATGAATCCAGTTTTATAATAGGCTTGTTTAACTCAATAAATTAAAGAGACCAAAAACTAATCCTAAAGAATGCTTTTTCTGGATCGCAGGGGCATAAGGAAGAAATACTTCATTGCAACATAAACCATCACATGAATCTTTTCTATTTAAAGTAGGAACAGGGAGGGGACATGTGGGGAAAACAAGTTCACCTCAGGCTCCCAGACCATTGCAAGAGTTCTCCCAGTGCCAGAGGCCCCGGGTCACACAAAGTGTGTTAGTTTCTGGGTGATTTCAAGGCACCCCTTGCACCATTTATGGAGACCAGTGCTTTGGAAATTCTAAGGTGATGGGAGAAATTTTTTTTGGCAAGCAGTTACTTAAAACCTAATCTCTCAGTTTTTAAAACAATGAAATGTATCTCACTATCAGAAGCTAATTGTGTGTTAAAGGCAGAGTTTATCTCAAACTAAAGGAAAATGAAAACCATCTTAAATACAACATTTTATCAGTGAAGTTTGGAGGCAATATCTATTAGTTTAAACTTTTTCTCATTCTTATGGTCAGATAGCAAGTTTTGCAGGCTTTAAATTAATCATTAAAAACATAGTTTTCCATGAAAATTTCAATTATTAACATTTTTCCAGGTAACCAAACTTTTCAACAACTGTGAATATTTTTTCCTTTATGCAAAGGTGAAACAAACATAACACACGCATACCTTTGCATAGAGATCGTTAAAAAGAGTGAAGAGCGGTTTCCACGGTTGAGAGGTCAGGTGGAGAGGGAGAGGGACTGTTTCTCAGTTGTGTCATTTGGTACAATCTGATGTTTTTAAATTTACCTAAGCATAGATTGCTTTAGTAATTAAAAGAATTAGACAAAAAGAATATTTTTCTGACATGCATAATCTTGATAGCTATTAACCAGCTGGAAGTTTCCACTCCTTTAAAGTCTCAGTTTGCTAAATCACAGTAAGCCCACATATTAATATGTTCACAACTTTATTCGAATAGGTGCAGATTACCTTGAAATCATAATGCAATCTGTTTCCTACAATATCAGTTTTGACTGCAAGCAGTATATGTAAATAATAAGAATGCAAGTTCCTAAAGAACAGAAGAGTTAGCAGATATGTTGGTACAAATTTAGCCATGAAGTAGTTTTATGTTCCTGAACATTCCTTCTATTTCTCTCTGTATAATATTTGATTGTTAAAAAGTGAGGTACCTCCCCTTGAAAGGTTGTTTTTTTTTTTTTTTTTTCCATTTTCAACATGGAACAGGTGTTTTCAGACAATTTATTTTTCCCAAGTAAACTACTGGACTTAAGATGATAAATCCGATTCCGGATGTTAGCCTCAACGGGAGGCTAAATCTCTTGAAAGACTGCCTTTTAGAAGAACATTCTTAATAAAGAGGGTGTTTAATTATGTTGTCATTGCTAAAGCCCATCTTCACCGCAGCTGCGTTTTCCTCTGTAACCATCGGCAAGTTGTTTAATCCCACAGAGCTTCCTCTTCTACAGAACAGGGAGAAGTCACAGGACCTGCTTCGTAAGGGTGTCATGAGGCTCAACTGGGACAACGCAGGTATAATGCTTAATGGCATCTGCTATACCTAATAAGCACTCAACACATTTTAGCTATTTTTTGCTTACATTTGCACTATTTTTGATAAGTTTTAACATTTCCCAACATGAATGTTAGCATCTTGAAATATACTGCTTTAAAACAATACAGCATCTAGAACTTCAGTTACAATTAACCTCATCTATTCTACCATAGAACACAAGTAAAACCCAACATGAAGTGCACTTGTTTCATTTTCTATATTTAATATGCATCAGTTAGTTAAATTTCTTTATGTAAGTATAATCAATACCATTGGGAATAGCAATACTAATAAGTACATATTTGAAATGATTATGCCTTCAGTAATTCTGGAATGATTTGCATGTTGTCAGAAAAGCCCCCAACAATTAAATTTATAAAGCATTGGCTTTCCACAGAATGAAAGTATAATTGTAAACTTTATGTATACAATTGTAACTGTATACTTTTTAAATGCACAATTGTAAGTCAAAAAATAGTCCCAAAGTGCCACTTTTGAGGGAACCCATTTGACTCATAATCACTTTGGTAATTAAAACATGCTATTTTACATATAAATTTGGAAGCTGGAACTTAGCCTAAAATTAGATGCCCGGAATTCAATAAAGGGAATGAGCTACCGTTTCTTTGGAGCTCCTGCTCCTTTTCTGCTGAAGTGAGTAGAAGACAACCATACAGTACCTTAAGCAGGTTGTGTCCCACAGTGTAGACAGCTGCCACATTCCCCTTCTCTCCCGGAGCATGCAGACCTGTCCCGTAGCCATGCCAAGCCACCAGATAGGGATTGTGAATGGTGATCCAGTATTTGACACGGTCCCCAAACGTCTGGAAACAGTAGGTGGCATAGTCATTGAATAAATCAATCAACGTCTCGTTTTTCCACCCCCCGTATTTTTCTTGTAGCGCCCAAGGCAGATCCCAATGGTATAAAGTGACTACAGGTTCAATGTTTCTAAGTAGCAGAGAGTCCAGGAGCCGATTATAGTACTGGAGACCTTTTGCATTGGCGACTGCTACTGTGCCATCCGGGAACAGTCTTGGCCAGGAAATTGAAAACTGATAAAAAGAGACTCCTAAAAAATCCAGCGCCGATAAGTCTTTCTCCAAAAAGATGTAGCTGTCACTGGAGCCATCGCGGCTGCTGACGTTCAGGTGTGTAGCGATGAAATGATCCCATACAGAGAGTCCTTTCCCATCCTTCTTCCAACTCCCTTCCACTTGGAAGGCTCCAGTCCCCACACCCCAGAAAAAGTTTTTTGGGAAAGTGTCATAGAGAAACAGCTGACTTTCGTTTACCGGACTCAAATTAGGATTTTGCGACCATACAGCTCTTCCGTCTCCGGGGAACCCAGTCACGGCTCGCAGCAGGATGAAGGCTGACAGCATGACAGATCTCTGCAGGCGTCCGCTGGACATCGTTTCCCTACAGCGTCTGTTTCTTTCATCGGTGCAGAAGGAAACCCATTCATTCCCTGGAGATCCTGCCGCACAGCCTGGCTTCATTTGCCACGAACTGCGGGACCGTCTTATCACGGCTTCAGTAAAAGCTTGTGATTGTAAAGCTCTGTCAATGATTAGCTTGAACCGGGCGACTTGGGATGGGTCAGGGCTAGCGACGTAATCTGAGGGAGGTGGCCCCAGGGCGGCCACGAGCACGTCCGTCCTCTGTCCTCTCTCATTCTGGGAAAAAGATGGATCGCAAACATACTGAAACAGTGCAGAAAAACGGCTCATTTTTTCTGTAGCCTCTCCCGCTGAATATTATTGAATCAGGTATACACATTTTCCTTTTTATTTAGTTTTTTAGCTTTTGAGACGTGGTTTTATTATCACACATGTGAGGAAGAACAATTTAATATCCGAGTAAGTCACATTCCTACATTCCAATAGTAATTCAAAAACATAATAAATAAAACACTACACGGCCACAAAATCACAACATACCTGAGATTCATTTTAATAAATGTTACCTGTATTAAGAAAGCTATTGAGCCGGCGCCGCGGCTCACTAGGCTAATCCTCCGCCTAGCGGCGCCGGCACACCGGGTTCTAGTCCCGGTCGGGGCGCCGGATTCTGTCCCGGTTGCCCCTCTTCCAGGCCAGCCCTCTGCTGTGGCCAGGGAGTGCAGTGGAGGATGGCCCAGGTGCTTGGGCCCTGCACCCCATGGGAGACCAGGAAAAGCACCTGGCTCCTGGCTCCTGCCATCGGATCAGCGCGGTGCGCTGGCCGCAGCGCGCCGGCCGCGGCGGCCATTGGAGGGTGAACCAACGGCAAAGGAAGACCTTTCTCTCTGTCTCTCTCTCTCACTGTCCACTCTGCCTGTCAAAAAAAAAAAATAAATAAATAAAAAAAATAAAAAAAAAAGAAAGCTATTAAAATGTGTCGGTAGATTTGAAGGAAGAGATACTGCACACTTTCTGAATGGAAACTGAATATTTTCCAATTTAATTTATGAACTTAATGAGCTTTTAACTCAAAACCTCTAATCCCAAATTTTAGTTTGACAAAACTATTGTGACAGTTCACTTGAAGAATAAATAGCTACTAGTTACAAAAATAAAGTAGAACAAAAGGAAAGAAGACCTGAAAAAGAAAATAACAAGTGACTGCATATCTTCAGATATTAAGACAGAAATAGCCCAACAACTTAATCAGCATGATTGTGGAATAAGAATAAACAGAAATAAATATTGTACAGACTTTTTAACGTCCTTTGGAAGTTGCATTTTTTTTTTTTTTTTTTTTTTTTTTTTTTGACAGGCAGAGTGGACAGTGAGAGAGAGATACAGAGAGAAAGGTCTTCCTTTGCCGTTGGTTCACCCTCCAATGGCTGCCGCGGCCAACGCACCGCACTGGTCTGATGGCAGGAGCCAGGTGCTTCTCCTGGTCTCCCATGGGGTGCAGGGCCCAAGCACTTGGGCCATCCTCCACTGCACTCCCTGGCCACAGCAGAGCTGGCCTGGAAGAGGGGCAACCGGGACAGAATCTGGCACCTCGACTGGGACTAGAACCCGGGGTCCCAGCGCCGCAAGGCGGAGAATTAGCCTAGTGAGCCGCGGCGCCAGCTGGAAGTTGAATGTTTTAAACATTTGAAGTGTTGTATGTCAATGAGAAGAGAGCGTGGCCTCTGGGTAGCGTGGCCTCTGAAGTCAGACTGCCTGAGTTTAAGTGGAGCAATGGGACTTGGGACAAGTTACCTTTCTGCACTTTAGTTTCCTCTTCTGTAAGAAAAGGCAAAATAACAATGATGAAGCTAAAAATAGTATGCACTTCATGGATTATTGTGAGGATTGTTACATCTAAGGCACTTAGAATGAAGAGACTGTCACAAAGCAAGTGCTCAGTAAACATTACTCTTATTTTTATCCATAAGGGAAATGTTATTTAGGAAGTGATGGTAGGATTTAGCATAATAGCATAAAAGACACTTTGTTCTGACTCCTGCCTGCATTTTTAGCTTCATTTCTTTCTTTCTTTTTTCTTTTTCTTCTTCTTCTTCTTATTTTTTTTTTTTTTTTTTTTTGACAGGCAGAGTGGATAGTGAGAGAGAGAGACAGAGAGAAAGGTCTTCCTTTTTGCCGTTGGTTCACCCTCCAGTGGCCGCCACGGCTGGCATGCTGCGGCCAGCACACCACGCTGATCCAAAGGCAGAAGCCAGGTGCTTCTCCTGGTCTCCCATGGGGTGCAGGGCCCAAGCACTTGGGCCATCCTCCACTGCCTTCCCGGGCCACAGCAGAGAGCTGGACTGGAAGAGGGGCAACTGGGACAGAATCCGGCACCCCGACCGGGACTAGAACCCGGTGTGCCGGCGCCGCTAGGTGGAGGATTAGCCTATTGAGCCGAGGCGCCGGCCTTTAGCTTCACTTCTTATCAACTGATCACTGATAGTATCCTTCTGTTCAGCTGTAACAAATCACTTTTTTTTAAAAAGATTCATTTGAAATGCAGAGAGAGAGGATGAGAAAGAAAGAGGTATTTTTGCATCCAGTGGTACACTGCCCAAATGCCTGCAACAGCAAGGCTGGGCCAGGCTGAAGCCAGGAGCCCAGAATTCCATGCAGGTCTCCTACAAGTGTGGCAGGGACCCAAGTGTTTCAGCCATCATCTGCTGCCTCCTAGGGTGCACATTAGCAGGAAGCTGGAATTGAAATGGAGCTGGGACTTGAACTCAGGCACTCTGGTATGGGGTGTAGGCACCCCAAATGTCATCTTAACCACTGTGCCAAACACCGACCCCCAGTGAACAACTTTCAGCAAGTTGGACACATGCTGCTCACTCACCTGTACTTGGGTGTGTGTGCTCTCTGCACAGGATGTACTTCTCCTTTCATCTGGCCTGTGCCTGTGTCTTAAAATCTGGTGCCTCCTCTGCAAAGTCTGACTCCACCGTTTGGATTTAGATCGATCTCTTTATTTTTTTTTTAAGATTCACTTTTTATTTGTTTGAAAGGCAGAGTTATGGAGAAAGAAGGAGGAGGAAGAGGAGGAGAGAGAGAGAGAGAGAGAGAGAGAGAGAGAGAGAATATTCTATCCATTGGTTCACTCCTCAAATGGCTGCAATGGCCAGGGCTGGACCAGATTGAAGCCAGGAACCAGGAGCTTCTTCTGGGTCTCTCATGTGTGTACCAAGCACTTGGGCCATCCTCCACTGCTTTCCCAAGCATACCCGCAGGGAGCTGGATCAGAAGTGGAGGAGCCAGGACTCGAACCAGCGCCGATATGGGATTGCAGGTGGAGACTTAACCAGGCCACAACACCAGCCCCGAATCTTTCTATATTTCTATGGCAGCCCATGTTTTATTTGTTATCATACAATAAATCACAATAATTATGTATCCTCAGTTTGACTCTAATCTCTCTCTTAAATAACAAAACAGGGACCATGAATATGGATATTCAGTGGTTTCCCACTGAGTTTCCAGGACTCAGTGCAGTACTTGACACATGCTAGTCACTCAAATACATGTGGAAGGAATGAGTGCACCTGTAGTATCCGACACATACCTCTGTCACTCCATTTATCATATAACCCTGGAGTTGTTTTTCTCCATTTGTGGAGGAAACAAACAAACTCCAGGATTATGGAGAATATCTCTTATCTAGATTTTTATCATTGCTTATCAGAGTAAATACTTAATAATTGTCCATTGAATGAATGAAGTTGGCACAGTTATTCCACTATTTATGATAACGTTAAAATGTAATCATTTAGAAATGCTTAAGATGGTTACGTTTTATGGTACATGTATTTTTCCACAATTAAAATATGTAGGGGGGCCAGCACTGTGGTGTAGCGGATAAAGCTGCTGCCTGCAGTGCTAACTCCACTTCTGATCCAGCTCCTTGCTGTGGCCTGGGAAAGCAATGGAAGAGGCCCAAGTCCTTGGGCCCCTGCACCCACATGGAAGACCCAGAAGAGGCTCCTGGCTCCTGGCTTCGGATAGGTGTATCTCCAGCTGTTGTAACCATCTGGAGAGTGAACCAGCAATTGGAAGACTCTCTCTCTCTCTCTCTGTGCCTCTGCCTCTCTGTAACCCTGCCTTTCAAATAAATAAATCTTTAAAAAAAAATGTTAGGTGGACATTTGGCGTAGTAGTTAAGACACTGTATCCCATATCAGAGCACCCGGGTTCAATACCTGTCTCTGCTTCTGACCCAAGCTTCCCGCTAACATAGAGTCTGGGAGGCAGGACTTGGTGGTTGAGTCCCTGCCATACATTTGGGAAACCTGTGTTGAGTTCCTGACTTCAGCCCTGGCCCAGCCCTAGCCACTGCGGGCATTTGGTGAGTTGACAAATGGAGAGCTATCTCTCCATCTCTTTCACAAATAAATGAATTAATTTTAAAAAGGAATTTATAAATTTTTGATGCAGCAGGTTAAGTTGCTGCTTGCTATCTATGATCCCATACTGGAGAGCCAGTTTGAGTCCCAACTGCTCTGCTTCCAATTTAGCTCCCTGCTAATGTGCCTGGAACAGCAGCAGAAGATGGCCCAAGTGTTAGGGCCCTTGCCATCCATGTGGGAGACCAAGATGGAGTTCCTGGCTCCTGGCTTCAACCTGGCCTAGCCCTGGCTGTTGTGGCCCTTGGGGTGGTGAATAAGAATTGAAAGATTCTCTCTCTCTCTCTCGTGTGTGTGTGTCATGCCACCTTTCAAATAAATCTTTTTTAAGGTTTTTATTAATTTTTTTAAGAGGTAGAGTTACAGACAGAGAGAGGAGAGACAGAGAGAATGGTCTTACATCTACTGGTTCACTTTCCAAATGGCTGCCACGGCCAGAGCTGATCTGAAGCCAGGAGCCAGGAGCTTCTTCCAGGTCTCCTGCATGGGTGCAGGGGCCCAAACATTTGGGCCATCTTCCACTGCTTTCCCAGTCCATAGCAGAGAACTGGATCAGAAGTGGAGCAGCAGGGACTAGAACCTGCACCCATATGGGATGCCAGTGCTGCTGACAGGGGCTTAGCCTATTACACCACAGCACTGACCCCAAATAAATCTCTCTTTCTCTCTCTTTTAAATCTTTTTCTACCTGCACATTTGGTTGCTTGGCTGGGTGTAGGATGCTAGCTTGGGGTCCTTTTCATATAAGC